CGACTCTGAAAGAAATAAATAAATCCCGTTTCGATTGTCCTTTAATTGGAAAAAACTCCCTTGCGCCCCTCGCGGGCACGTAAAAAGGAGGTGTGACATTGGGACATCAAAAACCAAACCTTTCCCAAGTGGCGACTCTGAATTAAATAAATAATCTCATTTCGAATATTGTCACTTAAATTGGAAAAACTCTCTCGCGCATATAACCCTTCGGGGTCGAGCGCGCAAAAAGGAGGTGTGACAAACATCAGGTGTGCATTTCAAATACCTTAGAACATGTAACGCAACTGTCATATGGGGCAGTCGAGGTGTCTTAAGAAACTGACTCAAGTGTTGCACAACAAAACATAAATCTGGCCTGGTATGAGTGAGAAAATTCAATTTTCCAACTAAACTTCTATAAGAATCAGGGTTGGGCAGCAAGACCCCAACATCAGACTTGAGTTTAACACATAACTCAAAGGGGGAAGAAACAGCAGAAGCATCAGAACACCCATATTCAACAACTAACTCCGAAACAAACTTCCTTTGATGAAGAAGTACCCCAGAATCAACATATAACAACTCAATTCCCAGAAAATAGTTAAGTAATCCTAAATCTTTAACTTTAAACAGATCATCTAAAAACATTTTGAGAGCATTGATCTCTTTAGGATCATCCCCAGTAAGGATAATGTCGTCCACATAGACAACAAGAAATACAGTAGATGATTCGGACCTTTTAATGACAAGAGAGTAATCATTCAAAGAATGTGTGTAACCTCTAGTGCAAAGTGCTTGTGACAACTCAGCATACCATTGCCTAGAGACTTGTTTTAAGCCATAAAAGGACTTTTGCAACTTACAAACCAAAGGAGAAGTAAATTGAGAAGATGAAGCAACTGTGAGACCTTGGGGAAGCTTCATATATATCTCTTCATCTAAGTCCCCATGAAGAAATGCATTATTCACATCCAATTGATACAAGGACCACCCTTTTTAATTGCAAAAGCAACTCGACACCTAATAGTACACATTCTTACAATCGGAGAAAATGTTTCATTAAAATCAATACCTTCAATTTGTGTATCACCCCTTACTACCAATCTTGCCTTATATCTTTCTACACTCTCATCTGACTTGTACTTAATTTTATACACCCATTTACATCCAATAGGCTTCTTACTCTTAGGTAACTCAACTATAGACCAAGTGTTATTAGCTTCTAAGGCCTTAAATTCTTTTCTCAACTTCCTGCCAGACTAAACCGGTAGCTGCCTGAGAATATGAATGACGCTCAACTTGAGTTGTGTGTGCAACAGAAAGAGACAAAGTAGTGGAGCTGAAAATGGAAGGAGGAAGTTGCACAATAAAATTACTAAGATGTGAAGGTATTGTGTGATTTCTGGTGCTTTTTCTAGTAGCAGGGAGAGAGGAAGATGTTGAAGGAGTAGAAGTAGAGGGAAGATCAGAAGGAAGGACTATATTAGAAGAAGAAACAGAAGGTATAGAGGAGAGAATAACATCAATAGAAGGTGGATTAGTAGGAGAAGATGTAGCAATAGAAGGAGAATGGAAAGAATTTGTGTCAAGAGGAGGAAAATGGGAAAGATCAGAAACAACAGGTAAAATAGGTGTAGAATGGGAAGATGGAAGGTAGCTGAAAGATGAGAAAGAGGATAACAGCAAAAGGAAAAATAGATTCATAAAATATGACATCCCTATAAATAAGAATACACTTGGTGGATAAATTGTACAACTTATAGCCTTTCTTACCAAATGGATAACCAATAAAAACATAAGGTACAGCTCTTGGATCAAACTTATTTCTCTCAGATTTAGGTACAGTTGCATAACAAAGACACCCAAAAGATTTAAGATATGAATAAGAGGGAAACTTGCCATAAAGCACTTCAAATGGAGATTTGTTATGTAAAATGGTGGAGGGAAATCTGTTTATCAAATAGGTGGCTGTTAAAATGCAGTCTCCCCAAAATTTTGTTGGTAATTTAGACTGGTACATCAAAGCTCTAGCTGTTTCAAGCAAGTACTTATGTTTTCTCTCAACAATTCCATTCTGTTGAGGTGTGTGAGAACATGTGGTTTGATGAATAATTCCATGGTCTGAGAAGTATTGTAAGGCAGAATTGGAAAGTCTAATTTCTAAGGCATTATCACTTCTAACTGTTTTAATAGGGAGGTTAAATTAAGTTCTCGCCATGGAAATGAAAGATTTCAACATGGTAAAAGCATTACTTTTAGTATGTAACAAGTGAGTCCAAGTAGCTCTACTATGGTCATCCATAATGGTAAGAAAGTATTTTGCTCCAGAATAAGTCTGAGTATGATAAGGACCTCATGTATCAACATGAATCAACTCAAACAAGGAAGTAGAAATAGTAGAACTAGCTGGAAAAGGTAATCTTGCCTGCCTAGCAAGAGGACAAACAGGACATATAAAGGATTGTTTGGCAGATAATTCAGCAGAAATAGAAGGGATGGTTTTCATTCTAGAAAATGGAATATGTCCTAATTTGTGATGCCAAAGAACATCATTTTTATTTATGCTCTGCTTATCATTACAAGGAACAATAGGAATAGTATGTAAAACAGCCTTATTATGTGCAATCTTACTAGACTGTTCAGAAAGAGAAAGATCTTGCACATTATTTCTAAAAACAGAAGCAGGAAAGTTAGATGTTGCATTGGGTTGATGTTCATGAAGAAGCTTGTAGAGTCCTTGGTCCACTTTACCAAGTTACAGAAGCTTCATCATGGAAAGGCCCTGTATCAAAATACATGAGATAGAGGTAAACAAGACAGACACTGAAATTGTTGAATAAGCTTGTGCACAGAAATCAGATTATATTGAAAAGAAGGGATGTACAACACATGATGAAGAGTGAGAGAGAAAAGTAAAGTACAAGAACCAATACAAGTAACATTTGCCTTACAACCATTAGGCAAAGTTACCAAGTAAGGAGTAGGAAGTGGAGTCAAATTAGAAAGAATCTATTTATTAGAAGTCATATGATCAGTAGCTCCACTATCTATAATACACACATCTCTACTTACACTAGACAACAAGTAAACATGAAAATCATCATCAGTATAAACAGGCAAGGAAAGAAAACTACCAGCAAAGTTAGCAGATCCCATCAGATTTGGTTGAGGCTCTAGAGCATGACCAATTTGAGTTTGCGGCAGTAGGGAGATAAGTTGAGAAAATTGTTGCTGACTCAAACCAGGTATGGAGGAGATCTTATCATCAGATATATGAGCAGGTCCAACCAGAGGAGCATTGTGAGTAGGTTGAGCTGAGATATGGCTTGCTATGTATGGCTGAAATTGAGCAGATCCAGCAGATACTGTTGCAGCCAGCTTCTTTCCTCTGGTGAACTTGAAATTTTGTGGGAACCCATGGAGTTTGTAGCATTTCTCAATTAGATGTCCATGTTTTTTGCAATACTTGCAAAACATACTTCCTTTTGATTGATCAAAATATATCTTTTGATTGTATTGTTTGATTGGAAACTGTTGTTTGACATTCACATTAGTATTGAAAGATGCTGATTCTGGTACTAGTTGTGGATTGTATTGAACTTGTCTTTGACCCTTATCGTGAAGAAGAATATTGTAAGCACTGTCCAATGAGGGAGGAGGTTGCATCATCAGTAGGTTACTCCTTACACCCACATACACCTCATTTAATCCCATAAGAAACTGGTGTAACTTGTCCTCTTCTTCATCCCTCTAAATACCAGGCCTTGCAGCACAAGTGCAAGAATTTTCATGATTTTTGCGCATTGTTCCAAGTTCATCCCAAAGTTTCTTTAATTTGTTAAAATATGAAGCAACATCAAGAGAACCTTGCTGAGTAGAAGCTAATTCCCTTTGTATCTCAAAAAATTTAGTTCCATTTACAGTCCCATACCTACGTTCTAACTGCTTCCAAATACTTTCAGCTGTCTCCGAGTATTGTACACTTTCAGTAATAGTTGGTGAAAGGGAGCTAGTTAACCAAGAAATAACCATATTGTTGCATATGTCCCATTGACGAATCATCACAGGATTTTCGTTAGCCATTGGCTTAGGACAGGATCCATCCACAAAACCTATTTTGTTCTTAGCCGACAAAGAAACTATCATACTCCTTTTCCATCCACCATAACCAGATCCGTTAAATGGAGTACTAACTAAATAAGTTCCAGGAATATTAGAAGAGTGGATGAAAAGGGAGCTAGAAGGGTCTGGTGTATATATGATGGTTGTATTAGTACTAGTAGCAAGAGGAACCTCAGAATTCACCATATTAACACTAAAATTGTATAGGCAAACAAGTCAATTAAGCAAATTGAGCATGCAATTTAAAAAAAATGAAATTTGGGTTACAGACTTTCTTCAGTGAATCAAAAATAACAGATCCTGGAAAAAAAGGAGGAATCAAACCATTGCTCCGAGCTGAGAAATGTCCATAACGAGTACCCGAAACTTCACAGAAATGAAAGAAAACCAACAAAAATCGATCTCCAAAAAAAACGATCGCTGAACACAAATCAGAGATGACAGAAGGAGGAGAAAAACTTTGAATCAACTCACAGGGGTAGGATCGATCGAAAATGTGTGATTAGAGTAATCACAATCCCGCTCTGATACCATATTAGTGTTTGTAGATTGAACAAAAATGGAAAAGAATGAAAATAGGGTTCATGTTCAGATAAGAAGCTTCGAGAGCATTTTTTTTACATTTTCTGAAGAGTTCTTACAAAAAGAATATCTAAAAACTATTTACATTGGGCCGGGTCTATTAATAAATACAACTGGGTCTAGTCTTAATGAACTAACTAACATCAGGCCCAAATCTATTAACTAGTATCAGGTAACTCCAACACCATCAAATAGTAATATTGCAATATAAGATGAAATATTAAAAGGCAAAAAAAATCATAATAAAAATATATTTTCCAATGTTTTAAAATTTGTGTTACTCTCTCAAAAGTGATAATGACATCTGAAACAGAACGAGTATAAATTGGGGTTCTAATGCTAGCGTGTTTTGTTGTATTTAACCCATTGAATTCTTCAAAATGTTCCTTAGTAAATTACTAAAATAAACCCAACCGTAGATATCTTCTTTTTGCCTCGACTAAGTCGAACGTAAATTGTGGCAGAAATCTATGCTCCCAGTATCAAATTTGTGAGATAAGTATGATTCATATTGTCAATCCAAATTAGTCAAAGATTGAAGCATAAATAATTAATACTATTATTTCTGTCTAGAATTATGGTATTTTTCATTTCAGTAAGACAAGATAATGTCATCACAGAAAATTGATATATCTGTAATGCTTGCTTGGACCAAATCCTTTTTCCTTTGGTTAAGTTTGTGGGACAAGCATTCAAGCAAAGATCTTTGTAAAAGGCAGAAAAAGGTACATCTCGTTCTTCTAGGGAGCCAAGGAGCTCACGTGCTCCACTGTCTTTGTAATCTTGTTTATTGTTAGTTGTAACAGATTTAAATATTTTTTATAGATTAATTAATTATTTTGTTGTAAATCGGCATTTATTTTATGTTATTGTCAAAACTCAAATTGCATTTATGCTTGGCACGATTCTTGAGTTTTCCCGTAACTACACCAGTGCCCTGGACTAGACATTTTCGTTCATCAATTTCAGAGTCTAGATTAGTTTAAATTTATTATTAATTAAGTGCGTAATTAATAGGTTAGCTGGTCAAAGTTAAAATATCCCAAACGGCAATGGAAGCGGTCGCCACACAAAATTATGATGTATGTACACCTTGGACTGTAAAATAAAAGGATTAAAGAAAGTGATGAGGGTCGTTGGGCTGACGTGTAGTATATATAATTTGGATTAGGTGTTTCAGAAGTTGTTAAGTGGGATGGTGTGTTCTAATTAAGTAATGA